TTTTGATATATAAGTTGTTCAGGTTTTTTCATCTAACTTCTTGACGACCTAATATTAGTCCTGAAGTCATGCTCGACAAGGTGTTGACAGCATGCCGGACTGTGGATCCGAGGTTCATGGCTCGCGCCCCATTACCACATACACATACAAAACCGCGCTTTCCACTTGGTACCGTGAGTGCATTATAAGAGTGATGGTCAAGTCCCATTATTCGATTAGAATAGCCCAGAGTTGGCAGTTGCTGGTGTTGTTTAGCTGCCTTTCTTCTAGTTTATCACTTCAAAATTGGGGATAGCTAGCGCAAATAGCCGTCGTGTAGCTTTGCGCGAAATTCAACAAAACAAACAATAAATTAATACCAGTCTTGAATTATCAGATATTAAGTGGAAACGCATTTTGTTTAGAGTGCTAAGGATTAATAAAATTAGTCATTACCCTCTTTTTGGATATTTGTTTATCGAATGACTATTTGGCCAATGATGACATTGAAAACTGTGACAAGTGTTGTTACTGTAAACTGTGAAATTCAATTTAACAGTGAGAAAAATGAGTGACGGCAAAGCAGAAAAGAGATAAAGATGACTTTTGTTCCTAATTTTCTAACCATTGAAACAGCTGCACCTGTACAGTTGGCTTTATATTGTAGTATTTATCAGCTAAAGTAGATTGTAATTGCTATCTGTATAACGCCACATGACTTAGACTGAAGTAGGTCAAGTAGTTGTATAATATTGTTCAAACCAATACTCTTGAGCAAGTGAATCATTATTCTTTGTTTTACTTTTTTAAATGTCTTTTATAAAACGTTATCAGTGACTGAAGAGCTTTGGACTCGTACCACAACTATGTTGGTATCACAGGCGCCTAACACATGGGGCAGAAAGGGCACGTGCCCCATACTTTTCATAGTTGACTTACGTACACTATTACTACCAATTATATTACATTGACTTAGGCTTTTTTCCGCCTCCTTCCCCATATCTCCAACAAAGTTAGGCCCCGATGGCTGGTATTCATTTTTGTTATTAGTTACTTTCGATATTTCCCGTCTTGACGAACGATAAGCGATTGATAAAAAATGTTCGACTTACTATTTTTAATCTTTTTGTTTGTTTGATTGTATATTTCTTTTATAAGATCAAAAGGAAGATACTTTGATAGATGTACATAAGTTACTATTTAAAAAAATAACAGGGCATGATAAGGATAGAGGAGGAATGGGTAGGGAGAATGCTAGTGATCTACTACTATCGTAGACTTCGACAGATGTTTGATACATTCTGTATCTACTGTTACTTGAAAAGGTTGGCCTTTGTTATGAGCGGATTGCAGACAATGTCGCAGTTGACAGAACAAAATTATAATCGAATTTTAATCTACCATCACTTTGAAAATGACCAATGTAATGCAAACCAGTCCACGAGGTGTGCCATAAATCAGTACAATCCCAATGTTGAGGTGCTTTGCACCAAAGAAATTAGCGCCAAACGCGATGTGAGGCTCCTGTAAAACATCTTTTTCAAAGTTTTTACTTGTGTATAGAGCACGCTTTAGATATAAATGTTTCTTGATCACTTGTGGATATATTTCAGTCACTGCGAATTTGACGATTTGCAGCACGTTTTCCAAAAAATGATTGTTTCTTAAGTGACAGATTTACTATTATGTATTTATTTTATTATCGATATTTGTTTAAGTTAAACTTATATTTAGAAATGTACATAACTTATACTGTTAAATATGAATTGCGAAATTCCCGCCTATACTCTAAAGTTGTAGAAGATTCTCGAACGTAAGAATCAACAATATATGTTTGTACATATACGCTAGTGTAGCATTAGTATTGTTGCGGAAGCTGAAATTTCGAGAAACTCTCCACACGCCTATAAATATAACCAACACGACGCACCAAAAAAAAAAAAACAGTATCTATTATTGGTTTGCAATAGTTGGTACACTATAAAGTTCGGAAGATATAACTGTAATTATTATAATGATTATTAATCGGGACATTTCAGAGATTTGACCAAGAACATTTATAAATTTCGAACATTACAAACCATTTAACTTAGTGAATTCACATCGGACATTAGAACTTTTACGAAAACATTACCTAACGTCCTCGATGGAAAAAAATAGGCGTGTGATCAATGAAGACCACAGAGAAGTGGGATCGTTAAAAGAGTACAGAAACAAGTCTAATCAAAATGCAAAGATTATGTTTTCAAGCCTAGAACTAGGGACTCTAAAAAGTAAACAAACAAGGCTGGAAACAATGTCTACATTATTTTCTCAAGCTACAAGTCCCTATTTTGACTCCATGTCTACAGTATTTATCAATTTCAGTGGATTCAAAATAGGGACTTGTAGCTTGAGAAAATAATTTAGTCACTATTTCCAGCCCTGTTTATTTACTTTTTTAGATTCTTTAATTGTAGACTTGAAAACATAATCTTTGCATTTTGATTAAACTTGTTTCTGTAATTTTTTGAATATCTCTATTCACTCTCCTTAAATTGACAGTTTTTGTTTGTTTGTTTTGAATTTCATGCAAAGCTACACGAGCGTTACCCGCGCTAGCTGTCCATAATTTAGCAGTGTAAGACTAGAGGGAAGGCAGCTAGTCATCACCACCCACCGCCAACTCTTGGGCTACTCTTTTACCAACGAATAGTGGGATTGACCATCACTATATAACGACCTCACGGCTGAATGGGCGAGCATGTTTGGTAGGACGAGGATTCGAACCCGCAACCCTCAGATTGCGAGTCGAGCGCCCTAATCACCCGGCCATGCCGAGCGAAGAGAGTTTTACTAATCTTGTTTCTTAAGTTTTTATGTCAATTTATGGAGAATAAATTCTAAGCTACATACGTGCATATGCGTTCAGTTGAATGTTACATGTTTTTCAACAATTTACTGCTGCTGCATTGGGTTTTTTCCACCCAACCACCACACTAAATTTATTCAAAATAAGTAAAAAATGTACAACAAAGGATAAACGCACGTAATGGTACGCAACTACAACAAACAAAATGTAAAGTTGTTCTCAAAGAACCCTCTTGAAGGCAAAGATTGTATTATGATAGATTTAATGACAGTTTTCCATCAATGTCACACTGTTTTCTAGAATAATGCAACACACATAATGCATGGAAAATAGACTTAGTGTAAGTCGCCAATTATTGACATTTGCAACTGCTACTTCAAGACCAACTATGTAAAAATAGCTATATGAAATAGTGCTATATGTAGTGATAATAAATGCTGAATACGCATTCCAGCTAAGTATAAAAAACAGTAGAAAGAATCACCACTTTCGTCCTAGTAGGGAAATCTACTATAGTAATTGTTCACTGATAAAATCTTGCTGAAATATCCTAGCGGAAATACACGTAGAGACAGCAAACTGAGTAACGATGAACAATAGCGACTCGAGTAACAATATGCATCAACAAAATCGGGAACATTTCACTTGGCAGTTTCCAATTAATGTGGTAGAAAATGCACGAGTTTTAGTTTCCAATTAATTCGCATGCTAGTAAAGCACCCCATTTTTTGATGTCGGAAAGTGAAGAACTTGCAAAATTTCTGTGTGATCCCAGACTACAGTAGATATCATTTGCAATAATTTTAAAGTGGAATCATAATAGGGATTTGTAGCTTGAGCAAACTGTCATCACTAGATCTCCAGCCGTGTTTGATTACGTTTTCACGATTCCTATTTGTAGATTTTAAAATTTTAATCATTGATTATCTTGTATTGTGGCTTTTTAATGCACAGTAATGGGCAAACATGTGCCTAGAGTAAGACACAACCCCACTAAGTGCGTTTAACATTTTACCAGTAGAAAAGCAACCTTTTCAAATAAAACAAATCTGTCTAAAAACATCGCTTTAAACAAAGCTTTGTGTCTTTCATAGAAAGTATTTACTGAGCCAGATGACTTTGTACCTAAGGTTTCGTGTAAACACACGTCAAATACAAAGGTAGGCGTTCATAACAACATCGCGTGTATTATGTATTTATAACCATGTAAATCAACTTTTAAATAAACCATGAACATTCATAGCATTCGTATAGTATATCTGTCTAGGTTTTGGGGCAAAATACCCAGGCAATTGTGCTTTAGGCTTATGAAATAATAGTATTAATAATTATAATAATATGAATAAATTGGCCAATTTTGATTTTCTCTAATAATCGTAAAATTACTTACTTTGCTTGTTATTAATGTTTGGGTGGTCTTAAATATTGCAACGGAAGGTTTTGGGTGTTGTTTCAAGAATAAGTCTGCTTTTTAAGATGGTGTTTGCCCGAATGTTCTATTACAGTTTTGAGCAACTTTATGTGCGATCCCTATTATGAACCACTATCGTGGTTTATATATGTACAGACGTTACTAATCTTCGAAATTCTTCTCATTCTTAAAAGATTGTGATAAAGTATTTCGAATAGGAGCTATGTTAAGTATTATTTTATGCAAGGTACCTACAGAATTATTATTTCGGAAATAAGAAATTATTATTTTTTAATAATGTAAATCAAAAAGGTTCTGTGAAAGAATATTGTTTTAGTATAATTCCCTGATCTACTTACTTTTTAGTTATTGTTATTATAGATTTTGTTTGTTTAGCTAAAAATACTACATACTGATATATCAATCTTGAGCATAAATGAAGAGAGAAACAGTCGACCATTTGTAATCTAGACTCAGTGCTTCTCAGAGTTACAGTTCAATATCAAACATGGATGACTTGTTTGTTTGTAATTAAGCACAAAGCTACACAATGGGCTATCTGTGCTCTGCCCACCACGGGTATCCAAACCCGGTTTCTAGCGTTGTGAGTCCACAGACATACCGCTGTGCCACTCTGGGGACAACATGGGTGACAATATTAAATTTAGATGTCTGGGAAACCATATTGTTCCGTTATTTACTGTTTAACAGTTTGAAGTAATATTTCCTCAAAATATAAAGCCTGTTTGATGTTATCAGTAGAGAACAAAGCCTTGGAAGACTGACCGAGTCGTCTGAGAGGTCTTTGGAGGAGGAGACAAAGAAAAGATGATCAACGTCAATCATCAAGCAACATTCATTTTCTCAGTGGCATTTTCCTTTATTTTATCTATGATTAAAGGTGAAGGTGAATTTTGTGAAAAATATGGATGTGAGTATGATTATGTAATAAATTATGTTTCTACTTTGGCAGTTCCTTTCTTTAGTTTTATTCTGATTCATAAATCTGTTCATCATTGGTTAGGGTTAATCAGGAACTATTGTTTTCAAAACTATACAAATTGTGTTTTGATGGATAGTTATGACGAATAAATAAGTAACTCGTTTAAGAAAAATTGTTTTTTGATGTTTCATGTAACACAATCTGGAGAGAATCTGTTCATTATAGTGTGTGAGATTTGTTATCGAAAGTAAAGTCATAACGAATAGATCACTTTATTATATATATAAAATTACTAGCATACATTACCAACAGAGATGTATGAATGTTTCACTGACTTTTATTACCCATACAAAGGAATCTGTCCAAACATCCAACTGACAGCTTTCGTTGCAGAATGACAGAAATAGTTCAACTCTGTAAGCAAATACCGCATATTCATTCACCATCCACGATTTAGTATCAGTGTAAAATATCTAGTAAGAAATAAAGATAGATCACAATTCTCTTTTAACATTTCATCTACTTTTATCTTAATCTTTCTGTTGGTCTTCGTAGGCGTAGTTACTTAGTTGTATCGTACTGCTGAAAACTCGCAGTAATTTTTGATACGAAAATTAACCCAAAATTCTGTTTAGTTTTAGTTATCATGTTCATCAATTTAATTCAATAAATATTTTAAAGATAATTTCTTAAAGAGTTAGTTTTGATAATTGCACTATCGTGGGCTTCATATGTTAAAAGCAAAAATAAATGAAAAACGAAATGTTGTTTTTCTCTTTCTTGTTTTAGGTATAACGAAGGATAAAGACGTCCATGTGGGGTCTATCCTGTCCATCAGTTGTTCTATCAATGAGAATTATATTCAGAACTGGACATCAACTAATATTAGTTTTTCATTCAAAGATTCACCTTTGCCTTCAAGTCTTGTCCATATTCTAAATCCCTTCATAGCACAACTGGAAATCTCTAACGCTACTCTTGAAAACTCCGGGAAATATTTTTGTTTCGTGTCTTCCGATGGTGTGAAAAGATATAACATTGGTATCACTACGATGACAGTAGGATGTAAGTTTCATCTTGTATCCACCGTTTTATATATATATAGGTGTGTTAGCTTTTTTTTCATATTTGCAAAGATGGGAAGATTATATTTGAATTTTATTGAAAAAACTTATCTGAATGTCAAAGCAAAGTAAGATAGATATCATTTTTCTATCATCACCACAATTGTAAATTTCGTAGTTTAAAAAAAATGCGCAGACTCGTTTATTCTCAGATTAGCAACTTCATAAGTCAGATCAGTTTGGGAAATCTCATTTCTCATTAGTAACTCTCCATAAATGTTTGTCGAAAAACAAGACCAGGTCTCTTGTGGTGGCGATGAATTGTCATATATCTGCAAGATGTTTGAGTTGATCTTTATGAGAATAAATTACAATCATTAACGATACTTATTCTTCAAATTTGTGTACATATAGGTGTTACTCGGGGCGGGTAAAAGGTAACTCCAACATAGTGCATATAAGCTTTGTGGAATAACTTGTTTAAAATTTAAAGAGTTAGTTAAATTTCTTTGTGAAGTAGGTTATTTTCTTAGTTCAAAGCTACACAATGGGTTATCTGCGCTCTTTCCACCACGAGGAATCGAACTATGAATGTTATCGTTGTTAAGTCCATAAAATTACCGCTGACCTATCGAGGGACTTGTGCATTTCGACATGCTAATAAAAACACTATTATTCCATTCAAAGCAAAGAAAATAATTTGAAAGCAATTTATTTATTTAGCTTATAGCTGTTATTTCGTGCAAGTAACATAAAGTTAAGAAAAACGTTTCCATATTATAAGTTGTAATTTATCAGCATATCACCGTTCTTGATTTGTATTTTTATAATACTTTTGTTGCACAGTTTTAAACTTTATATGCGTACAAGACAAGTAATTTAGTCCCCCGATAAGTCTGCGGATTTACAATGCTACAATTTGGGTTTTGATTCCTCTCGGTGAACACAGCAGATAGTACGATGTGGCTTAACTATAAACAAAATATATATGCATAAATATTTTAATTTAATTTCTTGTTGGCGCGTTAATGTGAAAGTATTTGAATTATATTTAAGATAAACCCACGCCTGTGAAAGATTTCTGCTGCACAAGTAAAAACCTGGAGTCCATCGAGTGTTGTTGGACGAGTTCAGTTGGGGATGTCCATACTGAACGAAAGCTCTCTTTAATGGAAGTGACACAGAAGTGAGTTTCCTTACTCTTGTTTGTTTCTGGAGATATGTAATGTATTATCCATTCTCTCGAGTTCATGAAAATATTTTGTACGACGAACATTGAAAATGTGACCTTGCTCTAGAGAGTTCAAAAGTAGGCTTGAAGTTTATCATTCCTAGTACTCAACGTACATTTAATACGTTATAATAGTGTAAGGTTTTCTAGTTTGAAAACTAAAATAAAACAGTTTTCAGACTATATATTTTATGAAAAAATATTCACCTCGATTCCTTAACAGTAGACTTTCACAAGTAATAAAAACTAACGCTTATATAGTAGCGAATTTAATATCAAATCATGAAACAAATAACATACAAAAAGACATTTGTTATTGTCACCTGGTTACTTACACATGTTCAACATTCTTCAAAGCTGCTTGGTTATTTCACCGAAATGAACAAATATAAATGTTTAATTTATTTTCAGTATCATTAGTTCCAATTAAAAATAGAACTTATTTATTCTATGATGCTTCTAGAAGCCATGCAATAAATCATTGTATAGTAATAATATAGAAACGTATGCTGAAACTTAATGGTTTAATGCACATTCTATTTCCCATTTCAGAAATACACGTCAGGTGTTCCCATGTACAGAAAACCCGGGTGAAAACAGAATATGTAAGGACATAACAGCGTTCACTTTCCCTCCATATAACAGATATCAATCTGAATTTAATGTAAAACTTCATGAGGAAAACATTCTTGGGAAAATTGACCAAATTTTTAATGTGGATCACTATAGTTTAGGTTAGTGTTTTAAAATGCCTTTAAAATTAATGGTTGTTAACCCCTTTACGGCGGCTGTCACGTATATGTGTTGGTATGTTTTCTTCTGCATACTGCGGCTGTTCGCAATCATCGGGATTTAGGTCTTGGCGCCCTGGGAGGGTCAGGTACTTAGTAGACCTCTTCCTCCCTCCTGAATTGTTGTTTGATGTTCTCTTCGAGTTTTAAAAGTGAGCTGGTTTGGATGTCTATCACTTTCTTTTTCAGGGCTATGTCCATTTTATGTTGTCAGGTTATGTATCTTTACGAAAATTATATTATATGTGTAGCTGTGTTCTGTATTGTTTGTGGAAGTACAAGTAATTATATGATTTGTGGTAGTAATGGTGTTAGGTGTTCTATAGCTAATCTAATGATTAGTATGATACTGTTATCTTGGTTTTGGAGTTCCTGTATTGTGCTAGGAATTGATAAAATATATATGGTTTTGCCGTTTATGGGATTTTATTTTTAAATTTCCCGCGTAAACCGGTAAGAGGTTTTATTTGTGAGAGTTGTGGCACTCTCCATTCACCCAAGCATTATTACCGAACAATGGATCAATCATTTTTTGTCTTTTCTCGTCAGTACCAATCATGATCTCAACGAAATCCCATATAGTGCACAATAGTAGTCTACGGAATGAAAAAGTCCGACCAGTATACGCGACAGCCGCAATGAATGGGTTAAACTTTTGTCTAGTCGATTAACATTTGCTGTCAGTTGTTGTTTTAGCATAAAATGTCATTACGTGATGCGATAATATATATATAAAGAGAACACTTAAAAACTTGCGTTACGATGGTGTCATTGTTTCGGGTCTCGTAAAATATCAAAGACAGCATTCCAGATATGTACAGTTTTTTATTTTCAGAATAATTTAAAACTTCGATCCTTCATAATTTGAATCTACCAGTTAACTTACCTAGTAGGATTAAGTTCTACTCTTAATAACTGTATGCAGTTAAAACAGAGACGCATTAAAGCAGTGTCATCAGGTCATTGGTAAGTGATAATACCTGCTGATTTGTTTTATTGGTCATTTTTGGAGATAATTTTTTAATATATGTTGGCTTCTGCCATCTTTACATTGAATCAATGTTTACCTGGCCTTACATAAAGTCTCTCTTTGCTCATACAGTTTTACTGAACCCTCCACGCCATCTAAAGATCGTGGGACGCACAGCAACGACAATTAAGCTAACGTGGAAAATACCAGAACATTTTCCAACTGACCTCTTCATATTAAACATTAGTCTTGTCTACCAACTTCAGTACACAAGAACATCTACAACAAACGACAGAATATGGTGGGTAAGTCTTAACAGAAGAACCATTAAATGTTATTCAATTTAATTCATATTGGATTTTAGCCCACTTTACATTGATATTAGTGTTTCTATTACTAACGACTGGTTTCTACTTTCATTTGTAAGTGGCACACAGTGTAAGTATAAATCTAATATAAGTGATAATTTTATTTATGAAGTTAACGCAAGCAACTACGATTTTTTTTATACTTGATGCAACACTTCGTCTTCATACTTTACCCGTGAATTGGCACTGTTGTAATGGAAGAAGAAAAACAAAAATGTGGATAACTATTCCGCATGAAACACATAAGTAATAGAAATTAGGGATTTTAGTAAATACACTTTTTAATATTACTTTGTTTTCTTAGACAAAAAATCGTAGTTCAGGAAAGTGGATGCTGCGCTGATGCAAACAGTATTTTATTGGAATTACTTTACCATTAAGTATCCCAGCATGCTGAGCAAAAGATTGGGTAATTTAGTAATTATCTATGATTAGTGGAAATCTATCTTCCAATGCTTACTATATATATCTTAATTAGCCAAGGTTTTCACAACACCTACTGACACCTAGATTAAAAATTGAGGATCGAGTGATTTTTCATTATTTTGAAAATGTAAGAACATCTTTCTTAAAATTGTTTGATTACATCAATTGTACAGTTTATAGCAGAAAATTCTTAAAATACCTAAGATTGAAACAGTTTCTATTTTTATTTTGTTGTAAAACCAAAACTTACTCAATTGTACAATAGTGGAATCGAAAGGTTAGATGCAAGTGAAGTAAACCTAAATAAAAATATTCGAGTTCAGCACGACATCTAATGGTAAAAATGACCAATTTCATTTTTATTAACCAGCTAGTTAAGCTTTAATAGGCAAAGATTGAGTCAATAAAGATACATCCTTGAGCTATAGGTCGTTATTTTATTTACATTAGTATAAATGTCTCGTAATAAACGACAGTTTGCGTTAAACAAAGTTAAGAATATTAATTTCATTTTTGTTGGATTTTTCATTGTGTGTGTGTTTATTGAAAGTTATTTAGCGACGTTGTAATATCATGTGTTGGTACAGTTTGTCCAGAGTTCAGCAACATGGATGACTTACTTTTCAAGAGGCAGAGTCCTATCTCTGTATTATTGTGTCTCATATAATATTATTTTATCTTTCTGCACGCTCACCAGTAATATCCAACAGAATATGTTGACCTTATGATTCATCAACCTATTTCATTTTATCCAAGAAGTCTTATCAGAATAGCTCGTTAATGGTTTTAGGAACTTGATTTTGGTGCTCATGGCTTGTTGCCAATAGCTTTACCACTGAATCTTCCAAGTTTCTATTGATAAGTTTTATGTTATTGATGTAGTAAGACCAGATTTTGCTTAGGTTGTCTATGTTTTTTTCATGATAAATGCTATTTTTCTGCGAAGAAGATAAGACACTAATATCTGTCGAATTAGGCCACTTTGTTACTACTGCAAGAGCACGGACGAAAAAAAAAAAAAAAGCAAACCCTACCGTTCACGAAAAAGATCACGTGAAAACGAAAAATATATAAATCCTACACACACTACTATCTTAAAAATTTTCCAATTTTTTATAGGTGTGTTACAATTATGATATTATTGATATAATTAATGTATCAAAATGAGAATAAGTTGGACCAACTATATGGATAACGTTTCGTTTCTAACTATAAATCATCAACAAGTTTATTAAGGCTGACATAGGAAAGATTTATGAAGATAATTACCTTACTCCTGAAGAAAAGGTAACATGAGAATGATTAATGAATTACCATAGATCCGATGGTATTGTAGTAAAGCTTGTTAATGATAATTTCTACTTGAACGGCACCTTATGTGACACATGGGAAACGACTAGTTCAGAGACTCCCTAAACTTCAATCATAGCTATACCTAATTTGCAATTGCTGACCAGAAATAAAACAACAAAACAGCAGCACCCTGTACCTACATTGCTATCCCTCACCAAATAGCAAGATTGATTGTCACAGTTATAATACCCCCACATCTGTGGAGCGCGTTCAGCAGTGTATTGCGACTTCAGCCCTGGACATTCAGTTCCACAGTCCAACGTTCTAACCATTAAGCCACTCTTTACCTGTAGTAAAGAATAGCAAAGTAATTAACTAGAGTCTTGAATGTAAGGAAGTAACAATTAGTAAAACTGCTTATCATATTTTGAAGGTAATGAGGTAATGATTACTATAAAGCTCCTTCTCAAAGTCAAAATGTTATATAGTAACGGTTGTTAAATTACTCATTATGGTGCCCAAGAGCACAACGAACAACAGAAGTAGCAGTTAATAAAAATATCTTCAGTAAGCCGGATTATGACATATTTTAAAAGAGGTATGCTTTTTTTTGTGTGAGTGCTAAGTGACTTCAGGACATCAGTTCAATAGTGATACATCATGGGGAACATGTTATCTATCAAATTTGTGGAGTAGAATGTTTGATGTATGCCTTAATATACTATTTCCAGGTAAAATATATCCAACATAGTACCACAATCTACGAACTAATCGATCTGATCCCATACACCAAACACCACATCCGCCTACGATGTAAACTTTCTACCACCAATCTGTGGAGTGATTTTGTGGAGCTGCCAGAAAGTCAGACTAAACCTGACGGTCAGTAGAATTTTAGTAATAAATACCGTCAGTAATAAATAGTAATAATAGTAATAAATACAATGGGTTATTTGTACTCTACCTGATTTTTAGCGTTATAAGCTCTCAGCCTTACTGCTAAGCCACCAAGCACCAGGGGGAGCTTGAATAACAGCATACAGTGAATTAACCAGTAGTGTTTTAGTACATGCAGTATTATTGGATAGTTAGTAGTGTTTTAGTAAGAGAGTCTCTACGGATGGTCGATAATGGATCAATTTGTACAATAAGTAGTGTTTAAATAAGAGAATGTCTGCAGACGGTCAGTTGTATTTTAGTATTGGAGTATCCGCAGATGAGTAGTAGTGTTTTAGTAAGACCTTCCCAAAAACGGGTCAGTAGTTTTAATACTGTATTATTTTGGATAGGCATTATAGTTTTGTAATAATAATCTTTGTAGACATTTATAAGTATTCTATTACTAAAATACTTTAGTAATGGAATGCTTATAAATATTTGGTGATAGAGCAGTAGTGTTTAAATAATGAGGTTTTCAGACGGTTATTTGAGTTTAAATAATGAAATAACCTCTAGATAGTTGATGATTTAGTAATGGATTGCCAAAGTGTTTTATACTAGATTTTCTATGGAATCTGGCGTTCCTTATAGATCTAACTTAACTAAGTTGAACAAGGGGAAAGTTTTAAGTTAGCTAAAGTGAAATTCAATAAATTATTAAAGCAATTCATCTTAAAGTTTTAACGTGGCTAAAACCGTAAGTCAGGAAAATATTAATGTAACTGGACCTAAAGGTTGTTAAAATATCTGTAATGTCTTAACGTAACTAAGCCTAAAGTCAGTAAAATTATGTGGTAACTAAACTTGAAAACCGTTAAGCTTAAACGTAATTAAACTTGAAAGAAAATGAAATTATTATGTAATTAAACCCAAAAGCCAATAAAGCTTAGCGTTACAAAACCTGATGCAGTTTCTAATGTTATTATATTTAAGTTTTTAAAGTTTAGGTTGTTTTTCCTAACTTGTACAGTTCCTTACCTTTCGCCGAATACGAGTAGCGGAGCATTCGAGGAGACTGTTTTCAAGGACAAAAGAAATATTACCATATACTGGCAAGTGAGTGCACTCTTTATAATAAACACATAATAGTTTAGTAACACAGTTAATATATAAACTTGAAAATCAGAATATTTTAAATTTAATTCTGTACTGTGATGGCGTTAATGTTTATATATATATATTTTTTTTCAAATTATCTGATAAAAATGGCCCCAGTTTCAATAATTCATTAGATGTTTCTAAATCAAAACAAAAGATAATTTGTCCTTGTATAAGCTTCCAGTGTTAGTTCAATTTTCTTGGATATCGATTTTTTTTGAAAACCCACAATGTGAAATTCCTGATTAGCGTAAACGTGTTACATATTCGGACATTTTATGGTACATATTATTAAATAACCTTCAAAATTGGCATATGAACAATAAAACCAGAATGTAACATATAAGATACCTATAAAATAATCAAAAATATATACTTGTATATCACAAAGTAATGATGTAATATACCTAACAAAAGAAGAAAAGTATCATCAAAACTTGTACGCTACAGGTAAAAAAAAGTAACAATGATGTACATACAGCTAGCAATCATTTTTTCATTGTAACATTTACAGCAAAGTATAACGTATTTACCATAAATTTCAGAAATTGGAATTAGAACTAGAACTTAAAAGTAAAATAGTTTTTGAACTTGAAACATTTCCAAAGTATGGAGATGCTTCTGATGTGGATATTACATGTTTTATGACGTGCAATGTTACTCAACTTGATTGGAGAGTGCTTAAATCAGGCTTCGACAAGTGCCGGCGCCAGGTTTACATGGCGACTAAAAATGTCATCATGGCGTCTAGTATTTCAGCACTTCTTCATGTTTTTTGTTTTTTTTCAGGAATGAAGTGCTGTGATTCCACAACACGTTACTAATTTTGCGCCATTTTGTTTTTCTTCTTCCTCTCAATTCAACCAATCAGTGCGCGTGTTTAGACTTAGACGGGACCAAAAACAGTTAGTTCAGGCAATACTATCAAGTGGTTGTTGATATCATGTAATATTTAGCATGCACTCGTTGCTGTGAAAGTAAATAAATATACACTGTTGCCTCAATTATTCGCGCTGATCCGGGGAAAGCAAAAAATCGCGGATAACAGAAACAGCAGATAATCTAAGCACTAGTGTATCTCATTAGTTAGCCCATTGTTTAATTTAAATAAACATTTTAAATATATTTAAGTTCCTTGTATTAAATTATAATCGTTTTACTGTCGTTTAATGACATTACCATGCAAAATTATAAAAGTCATCACAATCATAATCATAAAAGCCAAGTGTCGGTTGGTCAGTCAGTTGGTCACCCTCGATTTTTTTCCGAATTTCGTGAGTTACACGAGTCCAATTCCACTTTTTCTCCTATAATAATTTCTCTTATCATTGCTGGTTCCAGTTTTAGTTCAAGTTGAGCGCTAACATAGGCGTACCTAGCTCCTAAGTTTTGGAATTTTTTCTGCTATAGACACGGATGTGTATTCGCACCCTATTAACGCCTGTGAAAAATATGTCAAAAATTAGCACAAATCTATACTTGGGAATTATTACGAAAAGGCCTTTGTTAAAGCAGACTGAATATACCGATTATCTGTAGGGAAGAGAACAATGCGTAACTGGGCAACACCCCAACACAACCTGAACATGCACCTGTAGTTAAAGGACGCCTGCCGTACACCATAGAACAGCGGACAACAACTGAAGTTGAGTGATATCTTTAAGAAACCTTAATGCGCATTTTGTTTGTTTTTGTATATTATGTTTTTAATCACTAATCAAATAGAATTAACCAAGCTACAAATATTTTGTATTCCTGTCTTAACAGCTGAAAGTAAAAGAGGCAAGGCTAGGCTTGAACTGGCCGACTTACGATTTGAATGCACGTCAGATCCTGCACACGAAAACCCCGGATATCACGCAACACCTGAACTTTTGTAACCAAAATTAATTTCTGAGCGACAATTTCTCCAAAACTTGTAAATTATTGTTTAGAATTGCAATGTCATAATTATTTTGAGAAAATTTGGGGAAAAGAAAAAAACCGCAGATAATCGAGGATAACGGAGGCGCGAATAATCGAGGCACTAATGCAGGCCCTATTTCCTGGTACAAACAGTAGTGAAGTTAAGTTAGGCATATCAAGCTCCTGAGTTTTTGGGCTGGCTCCTGGATATGAAAATATTTGTCGAGGCCTCGCTTAAATTATTAACAACTGACATTCATCAAATTCGTGAAAAACATTAAAAGAGGAAAATATATGATAATTTAAATTATTGTTTTATGTATGTAGTTGGTATTATCAGTTTAAAAACAACGATTTTATATGGTTGCTTGATGTAGTGTGAAGTACTTGAATAAATCATTAATAAAAGCTACGTTTAGTTACATATACTAATTCAGATACACAGTCTAAGCATATGATGGAACAATCAGGAAAGATATCTTTACTTATAATCTTTCCTATCTAATTTTGTGGTAATTTATTGATAAACTAGACTCTATTCAATACGGTGATTAAATACACGAATGGTCATGCACCTGGATAGCATTAGAACAGTTTGCTAACTAAATAGAACAATCGTTGTAAGCTCTGAATGTTGTCATGTTACAAGTTCAGGTCATCGTTTTAAAAATGAAAAAAATATATTCCATTATAGATATCCAACGTTTGGTATTCATTTGAATAAAACCTATTTGTTGAAATGCCCGGCATGGCCAGGTGGTTACGGCACTCGACTCGCAATCTGAGGGTCGCGGGTTCGAATGCCCGTCTCACCAAACATGCTCGCCCTTTCAGCCGTGGGGGCGTTATAATGTGGCAGTCAATCCCACTATTCGTTGGTAAAAGAGTAGCCCAAGAGTTGGCGTTGGGTGGTGATGACTAGCTGCCTTCCTTCTAGTCTTACACAGCCAAATTAGGGACGGCTAGCGCAGATAGCCCTCGTGTAGCTTTGCGCGAAATTCACAAACAAACAATTTGTTGAAATTTTTTGGTCTTGACAAGCTGGCGAAGCGTGATTTATTGGTTTGTGCACTTTCTGTAACATTACAGCCCAATATGACTGTGAATAATTTTACTGACGTTTTTTTTTCTGTTCAAATGTACTTTGTGTGTTGCATGATGCTGCCAACGAGGCCTTTCATTCGGTACCATAGCTCATCACAGTGGCTGAGTTATAAGTGTGGTAACACGATATTTATGTGATAATTTGTTGCTATAGAATAAATCCTGTCTTGTGATTCAACTATTTGAAAATGTTTACAAATAGTTAATAAATACGATTACTGTCCTAAAATATAATGTCGTTGTGAATGGGAATTTTTATTACACAAAATTTATTTGTTGGGTCTTTTCTGCGAATGTGATTTCAGCGGTTGTTACCCATACATTACAATGGACCCGATTTCTATTACGCCGTGACTTGTCAGCCTAAGAACCTTCCGTCCAAAAGGTTGGTAAAGGAACTCAATACAACTACAGGATCTGCAAGTTTTACAGACTTGGAAACAAGAATTCCATATTCTTTCATTGTGAAGTCTGCAAATAGTGAAGGAACTTCTGAAGCACAAACAGAAATTTTTATCGAGGATAAGATCAAAGGTAATTAGAAAATCTTGGTGTAAATAGGTACAAAATGGGAAACGGTAGAATACATTTTTGTACAATAACCAACCACATCTAAAGAATAGGACCCATGCTATGTTGTGTGCTAAAAGAAATTTCTAGCATTTCCACAGTGTAGTTTCTACCCTTATTTTGTCATATGTGTGGTGCTAGTTATTTTACCTCTTTGTTGGAAACACACCTATATAAATTTATAGAAATAGATGTTAATTTTACCTTGTTCATAGAATTAAGGATTTTTCCTGAACTTGAATTTCACAGCTGACAAATGTGTTGATTACATTTCAGGCTTAACTAAGTACAACCTGTTTATTAAGTCATTAAGTTATGAAATAGTAAGGGTAATACAGGCTAAATTTGGGAGCGGTTACCGTTTTTGGCCGCAATATTTTCGCCGCCCAAATTCGAAGAATCATGTCTAGTTAGGCTAGAAATAAAATAAAATAAAAGGTAAATAATAAAAAGTTATAAAAACAAATGAAAATTATGCTTAGATTTTTTCTCCATATCACGTCTTTTATATTTTGTCTACCTATCTGAGTAGATGCAGATAAATATAACATAATATTTAAAAGTTTCTAATAGTTTTATTAGAAAAATGTATATTAATTTTTTTTTCGCTTCGAGCGTCCCTCTACAACTCCCAGCATTACTGCTGCTCAAATTAATTTTCTGCATTACCCTCTGACTTCCCACATGTCTAGCGGGTGTACTTTTTTTTGATAATATAAGATTTGTACCTCCTAGTCTTTAAAAAGATAAGATCATTTCAGAAAAGCCTGATACCTTGAAGAAAACAAAAACGGGTACTTGTTCAAACTTGATACAATAAAACAACTTCTCAATTAATGATTGTTTTCAGTGGCACCTGCCCCAGAAGACGTGGTAGCTTTGTTTGTGGATAAAGGACATTTTCAGATATTTTGGGTGTATCCTGAGGAAATTCAGCAGAATCTAATTGGTTTTACTGTGTTCTGTTACAATTTATCGGAACTACTAGTCTGGGAAATAGCAGAAAGAGACTCCAGAGATAAATACTTCTTCGTGCCAGAACATCTAAAATGCAGATTTGGAGTGACCGCTAACTCAGTCCTTTTCAGTTCTCCCATGACAACAACTTCGTGCCCAATTATGTCCACTACAGGTACATTTCGTTTTTATAGGAACTTTAGCATGTTCATAATCCTGTCATTCTTACTTTTAATAATTAAGAGAGTTCAAAATTTCATCAAATCACTAGAAGTGATACAAAAAAGTAGTTCGAGGGGCTGAAAGTATAAATGTCAGTATTTATCTTTCATTAACCTTACTTCATCTTCTTATGTAATGAAATCCAAAACTAATTCTTATAAATAAACATACACATGGTTTGTGTAAACTTTTCATTAGTAATGTTTTGAAATACAATATAAATAAATTTGCTTTATATCCAAGTTGATTTATGAATTTTCAAAAGCTTAACCAAAAACAAGTTATTATAGGTTCTACATTCAATAAATTCATTTTTCATAAATATGTTTTTATTTGGTCAAGATCATACAGATATATTACGATATTATTATTGTTATTGCTTTTAATAGCTCAGCTAGTCTCAAAACAAATATTTTGCCTGAAAAATTCAAATTCGGCAAAGAAATCATTGTACTTTGGAAGGCATTTACGGAAAAAAACTGGGGATGCTCTGACAAAGGATACAAAATTTAACATCACCTTCCTGAAGTCAGTTTTTAACAAACATTAGACATGTTGGATAATACAGCCTTATGTTCGACATAAAGAAGAAGTTATGTTTATCTAGATTTTTATTTCAGATTTATTAAAACTAAGCACAGACCAAACGAATTCAGACACAATGGTCGTGGAATGGACAATGCGGTGTCCATCCTGGGAACATTTTATAGAGAGATATGAAGTAATCTACTGTGGAGTAAATGGACCCGGCCAGCCGTGTAATGGTCAGTAGGAAGAAAAATTAATTTAGTTATATTAATATGTAATTACTAATGAACCCCAGAGATAATCAAGTTATAACCATGATTTATATTTTTTAACCATCTTCTACAAATTATAGACATGTTGTTAAACGAAAGTAAGATGGTAGAATATTAAGTTTTTGAGCTCATGTTTGAAATATTTTTTTCACACTATAAAATCACAAAAAACATCACAATAGCAAAAAACTTTGAAACATAAATATAGTAAGCCACATTTAGTTAAAGATAACAATAGCACATATTAAAATTCCTGTATTGTACATCAAAAGCTGATGAAGCATTGAAAACGAAAATGTTTAGTATTCACAACAAAAGTCGTTCAAGACTGCAGGTGTTTTATTTCTATTTTTCCATATTTTTCTTAATTTGTTTATTGCACATTTTTCAATTAGAGGTGTATGAAAAAAAAAGCGTTGCAGTCCATTTTTGTTTAGTCATAGCTAAAAATAATTTTTGTTCAACAATACCAGACTTGCCAACTAGGCCGGCTTATGAGAACCAAAAATTAATCTAAAACGCTATGTTACGACAGCGAAGTAACGTGACGCTGGTAACACGTCATGAGATTCTCGAAGAATTGTGACTTTTCCTGGCAACTCTAGTCTTTTCTAGGCGCCCTGTATTTTAGTATATAAGCCCGGCAAATAATTGCAGATAGATATAGAGACAGATAATTGAGTCAAGCCAGCGGTAGTGACCGTAAGTAAAGTGCTTGAATCGTAGAGAATTATAGCGTGTGTTGAAGTTAAAGAGACTGTGGAAATTCTGTGTATTGCCAAGTTGTATTGAGAAATAATAAACTAGTTTTATTTAAGAAAGGACTTGTATCGCTGAAGTTCCTCGGGAAGAATTTATACCGGAAATTAACAATCGACCAGAGACGTAACAGCTACTTATATCTTCAGCACAAAATATCTAAGTTAGACTGATGAAAAATTTAAGGTAGACAGAACATAGGTTTGAAATGTTCTTTTACTCGCTTTTTGTTTGAATTCTACAGGGCACAAATTAAAAAGAATGTGGAAATAAGGTCTGTTATGTAACGTCATTTTTATTACAAATACTAAGCCTAATTGTATATAATGTTTTAAAATCACCTATAATTTACGTATTGTAAACTCCTGTACCTCAGATTTCTTCTTCAACTTAAATTTAAATTTTTAAATCCCTGACTTCGCTGACCTGAAATGAGGACAAAGTGAACTAGATGGCTATATTACAGTTTTTGTAAGTTTTGTTTTTTCATACAAAGCATAAAGTATAGACAAAATGAGCTTTGAGTAAGACAAACAAGGTGTGATACAACAATAATTTTATCATGCAGCGTCACCTTGGGTTTCATAACTGCGAGTCATATTTATCAAATATCACTTCTAACATTTGTTAAACCATTAGAAAAAATTAATAATAAAAAAGTAAAGTAACCACTTTCGATATTTCTTTAAAAATTCTAAGGAAGTTTCAATAAAAAATCACTTTAACGTTCTTTACACCACTTTAAAGAAGTTTATAATCACAAGCTATATTTCCACATTTTATAGACTTTTCGACAAGAGTTTGTATTCAGAAACCCCTTTCAGCATTCTTCAATCGATTCGAAAGAAGTTTGAAATCAGAAGTCATTTTCAAATTTCCTTAATTAAAATATTTGACAGAAATTCGTAATCAACATTTGTAACCACTCAAAAAAGGTGTGTTGATAAGAAATAAATTTCCATATTTTTAATAAGTTTGAGAGAATTTTATAATCAGAAAAGGTTTTTAGCCATTTGAAGAGATTTGAAATCCTAAACTAGCTTAATATTGGAAAAAAAGAAAATCAATAAAATATAAACCCACATGGTGCTATGAAGAAATAAAAAATTGATTTTAAGTGTGAAAAGCTCGCAGTTTTGTTTATTTTTCATAAAATATTTATTAATCTTTCATTTATTGATAGATAAATAGGATTTAACTTGAATCTTTTAAGAAGCTTTATTTTCAAAATGTTCATTTTTTCTTCTTTTCTAGGCTCGCTGGAGGCAATCCTTCCTGAACCCAGTAACAATTTCATTCTTATAGAAGGATTGAAGGAAAACCAGATTTACAGAATTTCTGTTCGTGCTGTTAGTAAGACGGGGCATGATTTTTATGGCGAGCCTTTGTTTCCAACGACTGTTTCATTTGGACCAAAAGGTAGTCGATTCTAGTTGTTACAAAACGGACTAGATATAACCGTAAAAGAAGGTTATAAAGCCGATATGTATTTCACTAGTTTCTGGAAATAGTACTAAAGTTGCCAATACAAAAACTATCAATTTTATATAACTGCAAGTTGAAATACCCGTCAACTGATAGGGAATGTTTATACTTAATTAAAACAATGTAGGTTTAACAATAATCACATATTTCAAAGTAATAACATGAACATAAACGCTATCTCAAAATTTTAAAATTATAGCAAAGCTTCTTCATAAACAACATTTGCAGTTTGCTTTACATCTACCAAGTTAAATTTTCTTCATTTGTCCATAAGATCTACAATGGAAAGCTTTCACTAACTGCCACAAGTACTATAAACTCCATATCAAATGTCACCAATTTATAATTACTAGGCACTCTGGATGTTGTCGTAGAATATATAGAAGGTAATATGTAACGACTTCCAGACAGCTGACTATGGTAAACTAATGGGGTTTTATTACGTACACTACTTGCATGGAGGGATTTTGTAGTAAGGGTTTTAGTAGTGTGTAGCATTTCAGCAGCAGTGCCCTCTGATGTTTGTGGATGCTCTCACCATAGACGATTGCTTATTTTCCTGTTCCTTGGAACTTTCTAACAGAACTGCTGACAACAAAGTTAAAAATTGGTTTTCTATATCCTCGGTGATTAGCCTGTTATGTAGCTTTGTGCTTAACAACAAGCGTTACTATAGTTCTTTACTCACTACTAATACTTAAAGTATTTTAAGTTATTTGAGGTAAGTAAATGATTATGCATCTAAATCACACAAACTACTTACATTCCTCCACTATATGAGGCCTACTTGCTTCGTTCTTCTAAGCAGACAGAACTAGTTTATTGTAGCGTGAGTAGCGAATGGAAGAATATATTAGGCTATTCAAAAATGAACATCAACCTGGTAATGAATATAGATACAAGATTCCACTTACGTTTACAAACATGAAGAAACAAACAAATGCAGCCGCAGCTTGATGAATTTGATAATGAAAAGAAAGGATATATATATATATATATATCAAATAAGTAAGTCATGTTGCAACCACAACCAATATATAGTCGCTTTCTTAGATAATATATTACCACCGAAAATTGATCATTTTTTGGGAAGTGTGTGTAACAGTTTTTCTAACGCAATATATTCATAAATTCATTTAGTAAATATATGCTCAGATCGATTATGTGGATTTTCTAAGACAGGGATAACATTGTACTTAATGGCATTGTAAAGAAGGAATATGGATCAACTTGGTGCACCAGAACCATCCAGGAAAAGACGTGTAACAAGTGGTACCCCCGCAGTGGTAAGCAAAATGCAGTGTCTTGTAAGAGGTAAGGATTCATGGACACAGTGGTCAGTTGCAAAAGTCGTTTATTTGTCCCAGGCAACAGAATGCAATGTAATCGAGAAGGATCTTTGTCTGAAAAAGCGACACATGTCACGTGAAAATAAACTACTTCCACGGCATAGCCATTCAACAGTCGCATACTTTAAGCAGCAGGTTATTTCATACTGTTCAAGTCGCCGGATGCAGCGCCTATGAATTTCTGTGTATTCAGACTGTTGAAACGAGTGCTGGAAAACTATACAGATTATGGGAAGTAAACAGAGAGGAGTGGTGTGCTTCAAACATGAAAATCGTTTGTAATGGAAACTACGCTGCAGGATTAGGTGAAAGGTGTCAGACTTAGCATGACCGGACGTGGCTGTATGAACAGTAACGACGTGGTGGAGTTCCATTATTGTTTTAATATAATGTGCTCAACCTCGTATAAGTTCTGATACATACAATATTTCTAAGAAAGACATCTGTACTGATGAAATCCGAAACTATTGATTTTATGAATTTTTTTAGCTTCTAATGCGAGACTGAAACTTTATTTGAAGTCAGTAGTAAGTAATATGCAGTAAAACATGCTGAAAATGGAGTGATTTTCCAGTGTTGTGCTTTTGAGAATGTATTTTAAAATGCAAAATCTTTAAGATACCGATTGAATAAATAATAATATATTTAAAGAAAGCATTACAAATTATGAGAAATAGTATATTAAAACAGTGTGATAATCACAGTATTCCCTTTCTTATTTGTAAATAGGCGCAAAGTAGTTAAAAGCTTGAGCAATCACAGCATTTATAGCCACAACTGCTATGTATGCAACAGAATTACGACAAAAATTTTGGAACTCCTGTGAAAACTTGCAAAAATTAATCAAGCTTTGATCAAAAGACTATTCTTTATTCCTGCAAATTGTGCTATCAGATTTCACCTTTCTTAGTTTATAGTGACTTTGTTTTAATTCTGCAGAAACATTCGAAGATAGTTTTTAATTATGTCATAACTAATACATCACATATTGACCAACTGTATTTACATAATACTGTTTAATTATCTAGCTTTCAGCGTATTTATGTGATGTTTTAGAATATTTGATAGAAAAAACTATAGTAAATGAAAACGCCATTGAAAGTACTTCAATCATATTTTGATCTTCTGCAAATTATTTTAAAGAATATGAGATCCGACCTATTTTTCCAATTTGAGTTTTCCTATATATATATATATATATATATGTAACAAAATATTTTTTATAGGAGGAAACACATCAACTTTATTCTGGCTTATCGGATTAATTCTTGGCCTTACGATTTTGTCAGTGATTGCATTTTTAGGTGGTCGTAGGTAAGCAAATTTTTGACCTAGAGAGTCGTGATTTTCTATGTTATTAAATACAACTTATTACAAATGTGATACCATTTTGTAACATGATACACGCTGGTTCAATAGAATTGTATGCATTTTAACGTTTTTATTCTCCAATAGATCGGGGCAAATTCAGCCCTTTTCCTTATGATTAAGTCATTGTAAATAACAATAGTTAATTTAATTTGTACGTGTTTTGTTAGCATTTATTACTATTTTTAGTTTGTACAAAT